ATAAAATTATAATACATCATAATACATACTTCATAATACATCATGAAGTGGGTATACAATGTTAGTTCCACATTTGAAAATCAAACATTTTAACTTACCATATGAACAGAATAAAAAAGGAAATCATATCATAATCTCAATATATACAGAAAAGCATTTGCAAAATTCAATATCCATTCAAGATTAAAAACTTTCAGCAAACTAGAAATAGAAGAAAACATCCTCAACCTGATAAAAACTATCTACACAAAACACAGATTTAACCTCATCTTTAATTCTAAAACACTTAACGCTTCCCCTCTAAGATCAGGAATAATATGCAAGGATGACTATTCTCACTACTTCTATTTAACATTGTACTGGTATACTAACCTGCACAATAAGGCAAGAAAAAGAAATAAAAGGCATACAGATTGGAAAACAAGAAGTAAAACTATCTTTGTTTAAAGATGACATGATCCTACATAGAGAAAATTCCAAAGAATCTATCAAAAAAGCTATTAGAACTTATAAATAAATTTAGTAAGGTCACAAGATACAGGGCCAATATACAAAAAGTTGTCTTATTTCTAGTAAAAAAATAATTATAAATTGAAAAGTGAAAAACAATGGCATATACTATAGAATCAAAATGTAAAATACTCAAGAATACATTTAACAATATATGTCAAGGCCTATACACCAAAAACTATAGAATATTGCTCTGAGAACAGTTTTAAAAAGATCTAAATAAAGGAAGAGATATGCCCTGTTTATGCACAGGGAGAATCAATATTGTTAAGAAGTCAGTTCTTGCCAAATATAGCTATTTCTAGACTTTTTACTCTGTTCCATTGACCTATATGTCTATCTTTTAACCAATACCAACTTGTCTTGATGACTATACCTTTATAGTTAATCTTAAAATCAGGTGGTGTGAGACTTCCAATGCTCTTTTGAACTTTTTTTGGCTCCTCTGGCCTTTGGAATTTCTTTACACATTTTAGGACCATCTTGTCAATTTTAGAACCAGCTTCTCAAAACTGGTTATAGTTGTAGTAGAGATTTTAATAAAACTATAGATAACCTATATATAATAACTTAGATCAACTGCCTTCAACAAAGATGTAAATCAACAGAAAAAAGTTTGCTTTTTCAATAGATGGTGCTTGAACAATTGAATGTCCATATGTGGAAGGAAGGAAGGAAAGAAGGAAGGAAGAATAAACCTCTGCCCCTATCTCACACCATACACAAAAATTAATTTGTGAAGATCACAGACCTAAATGTAAGAGCTAAAAATACAAAACTCTAAGAAATCACAGGAAAAAAAATCTTTATGATCTTGAGTCAACCAAAGATTGCGTATATAGAACACAAAAAGCATAAACCATAAAGAAAAACTGTTATTGAAAGTCATAAATATGAAAAACCTCCGCTCCTCAAAAGACACTAAGAATATGAAAAGATAAGCCTTAGGCTGGAGAATATAGTTCCAAAACATTTACCTGATAAAGGACTTGTATTTGGAATAAAATATAAAGAATTCTTACAACACAATAAATAGCCCATTAAAAATGGACAAAAGATTTGGACAGACACTGAAGAAGGTATATGGATGGCAAATAAGCACATGAAAAAATGCCCAATATCATTAATCACCAGGGAAATACAAATTAAAACCACAATGACATAGCAACTACTACTATTCAACTACTATAATAGATAAAATCTAAAAGACTAACAATATCAAGTGCTATCAAGGATGAAGAATAACTAGAACACTATCATATTGCCAGAAGAAATGCAAAATTGTTCAGCCATTTTGGAAAACAATTTGTCAGTTTCTTATAAAATGAATACACACTTACACAGCCCAGAAACTCTACTCCTAAGTATTTACCTAAAAGAAAACATATTCCCACATAAAGACTGGTATGTAAATGCTTATAGTAGTAGCTTTATTCATAATAGCCAAAAACTGGAAACAACCAAAAAGACCCACCTCCTCCTCCAGGAGGAACACTGAGGGTCCGTGCCATAGGAATCCATAAAATGTGGAGTTTTGAAACTCAGGCATGTGCCTGAAATAAAAACGCTCAGCCACAAGCCAGGTGAACAGAGTTCTAAAGGAAACCCAGGAGACAACAGTGATTGATTGCTTTTCTGTGAAGGCTCACTGAAGAGTGGGGGTGCAAACTTTCAGCTCCACAGCTAGAGAGTGGGGCCCAGCCATATTCATCCTGCCCATGGTTGTTGAAAGCCTTCAGAGAGCAAAACAGCACCACATAATGGAATCCAGAGCCACTTACACTGAGCCCTACCTCTGCCAAGAGAGGCACATTTGCAATAGGGCAAGTCCACCTGAGAATCAGCACATCAGGCCCCTTCCCCAGAAGACCAGCACAAACAACTCGACCTCACCAAGTTTACTGATCATACAAGGCTGCAAAGCTTCAGCTCTTGGGGAAACAGTATACAGCATTCTTTGTATTTTTATCCTTTAGTCTTTTAGTATTATTTTTTTCAGTTATTTTCTTTTTTTATTCTTTTTTAACTTTTAATTTTATATATACATTATATATATTTTTGTTTCCTTTCATTGTATTTTATCTTATTTTACATATATATAAAAGTTTACATATATATATGTTTTCTTTCTTTCTTTTTTTCTTATTTTGGGATCTAGTTTCTTTTAACAAGAAGACCAAAAAACACCCAGAATCATGTTTTTTGCTTTGGTTTGGTTTGGTTTCCTTTGTTTTTGTTTATGTATTGTTCAGTTTCTGTTATTATTATTGCTTTTTTTTTTTCTCTCTTTCTTCTTTTCTTTTCTGGACAAAATGACCAGATGGAGAAATTCACCCCAAAAGAAACAACAGAAGGTAGTAGTCACTAACAGGGATTTAATCAATTTAGAGAAAATAAGATGTCTGAACTAGAATTTAAAACAATGAATATAAAGATACTAACTAGGCTTGAAAAAAGTATAGAAGACAATAGGAAACCCCTTACTGTAGAAAAAAAAGAACTAAACTCTAGTCAGGCCAAAATTAAAAATGCTATTATTAAAATGCACTCCCAAGTGGAGACCATAAAATAGAGAATGAATGAATCAGAAGAGTGAAAAAGTGATATGGAAGGTAAAATGATGGAAAATAAGGAAGCTGAAAAGAAGGGAAAAATTATTAGATCACAAATTTAGACATAGGAAACTCTGTGATTCCATAAAGTGAAATAATACCCATATTCTAGGAGTCCCAGAAGACAAGGAGCAGGAAAAAGAGGCAGAAGGTTTATTTGAACAAATTATAGCTCAGAACTTCCCTAATCTGGGGAAGGAAACAGGCATTTAAGTCCAGGAGGCACAGAGAACCCTACTCAAAATCAACAAAAATAAGTCAACATTTCAACATATTATAGTGAAGCTTGCAAATTTCAAAATTAAGAGAAAATCCTGAAAGCAGCTTGGGACAAGAGGTCCTTAACCTAAAAGGGTAGTCACATAAGGCTGGCAGTAGACCTGTCCACAGAGAGAAGGCAGGCCAGAAAGGACTGGCATGATATATTCAATGTGCTAAGTAGGAAAAATATGCAGCCAAGAATACTTTATCCAGCAAGACTGTCATTCAGCATAGAAGGAGAGATAAAGAAGATTCCAGGACAAACAAAACTGAAGGAATTTGTGAACACTATACCAGCACTGCAAGAAATATTACAGGGGATCCTTTGAGTGGAGAGAGAGACCAAAAGTAACAAAGACCAGAAAGGAACAGAGACAATCTACAGAAACAGGGACTTTACAGGTAATACATGGATATTAAATTCATATCTTTTTTTTTTAAAGATTTTATTTATTTATTTGACAGACAGAGACACAGCGAGAGAGGGAACACAAGCAGGGGGAGTGGGAGAGGGAGAAGCAGGCTCCCCGCAGAGCAGGGAGCCCGATGTGGGACTCGATCCCAGGACCCTGGGATCATGACCTGAGCTGAAGGCAGTCGCTCAACCGACTGAGCCATCCAGGTGCCCTAAATTCGTATCTTTCAATAGTTACTCTGAATGTAATTGGACTAAATGCTACAATCAAACAACACAGGCTATCAGATTGGATTTAAAAGAAAGGCTCATTGATATGCTGCTTTACAAGAGACTCATTTTAGACACAAGGACACCTCAGAATCAAAGTGAGAGGGTGGAGAGTGATTTATCATGTTAATGGACATAAAAAGAAAGATGGGGTAGCCATCCTTATATAAGACAAATTAGATTTTAAACCAAAGACTGTAGTAAGGGATGAAGCAGGACACTATATATTACTTAAGGGGTCTTACTCAAAAAGATCTAACAATTATATTTATGCTCCTAACCAGGGAGCAGTCAATTACATAAACCAATTAATAAAAAATTTAAAGAAACACAGTGATAATAATACAATCATAGTAGGGGACTTTAACACCCCACTCACAGCAATGGACAGATCATTTAAGCAGATCAACAAGGAGACAAGGACTTTGACTAACACACGGGACCAGATGGACTTCACAGATAATATACAACATTCCAACCTAAAGCAACAGAATACACATTCTTCTGAGTGCACATCAAACATTCTCCAGAATAGATCACATACTGGGTCACAAATCAAGTCTCAACTGGTACCAAAAGACTGGAATTATTCTTTGCATATTTTCAGACCACAATGTCTTGAAACTTGAACTCAATCACAAGAGGAAATTTGGAAGAACTCAAACACTTGGTGGGTAAAGAGCACCCTACTAAAGAATGAATGGGTCAACCAGAAAATTAAAGAAGAATTTTAAAAAATTCATGGAAACAACTGGAAATGAAAACACAACTGTTCAAAACTTTGGGATACAGCAAAGGCCATCCTAAGAGGGAAGTACAAAGCAATACAAGCCTTTCTCAAGAAACAAGAAAGGTCTCAAAGCAGGGCTTTTTCCCGACGTGCCTCTCTCCTGGTTTCATGGAGTTTCCTCACAGCATAGCCCCCAAATGCCAGTCTTCACTCCCGCCTCAAATGAAGAAACAAAGACTACCTCCTGCCACCAAGTCACAGGAGATGTCGATATCTCAGCACTTGCCTAAGGGAGAAAAAGAACAGCAAGAAACAATTGAACATATTGATGAAGTACAAAATGAAATAGACAGACTTAATGAACAAGCCAGTGAGGAGATTTTGAAAGTAGAACAGAAATATAACAAACTCCGCCAACCATTTTTTCAGAAAAGGTCGGAATTGATCGCCAAAATCCCCAATTTTTGGGTAACAACATTTGTCAACCATCCACAAGTGTCTGCACTGCTTGGGGAGGAGGATGAAGAGGTGCTGCATTATTTGACAAGAGTTGAAGTGACAGAATTTGAAGATATTAAATCAGGTTACAGAATAGATTTTTATTTTGATGAAAACCCTTACTTTGAAAATAAAGTTCTCTCCAAAGAATTTCATCTGAATGAGAGTGGTGATCCATCTTCAAAGTCCACCAAAATCAAATGGAAATCTGGAAAGGATTTGATGAAACATTCAAGTCAAACACAGAATAAAGCCAGCAGGAAGAGACAACATGAGGAACCAGAGAGCTTCTTCACCCGGTTTACTGACCATTCTGATGCAGGTGCAGATGAGTTAGGAGAGGTCATCAAAGATGATATTTGGCCAAATCCATTATAGTACTACTTGGTTCCTGATATGGATGATGAAGAAGGGGAAGGACAAGAAGATGATGATGATGAAGAAGAAGAAGGATTGGAAGATATCGAAGAAGAAGGAGATGAGGATGAAGATGAAGATGATGATGAGGGGGAGGAAGAAGAGGAGGATGAAGGAGAAGATGCTAATGGAACACTGATGGATTCCAACCTTCCTTTTTTAATTTTCTTCAGTCCCTGGGAGGAAGTTGCAGTCCTTTTTTTTTTTTTCCTCCTCTTGTGCTCATTTGCCCTGTTTTTTGAAGTCTTTTTTCTCTCCCTTTATACCATGGTTCTCAACTTATTCTGGGGGGAAACACCTTGAGCAGAACACAGTGGGAAAAGAATCTCTACCCCTTTCTGTTCGAAATTCATTTTTATCCCTTCCTGTCTCAACAAAAACTTTATGGAATCAACACCACCGTGCTCTGTGGGAAAAAAGAAAAACCTTCTGCTCCCTTAGCTCTGCTGGAAGCTGGAGGGTGCTAGGCCCCTGTGTAGTAGTGCATAGAATTCTAGCTTTTTTCCTCCTTTCTCTGTATATTGGGCTCAGAGATTACACTGTGTCTCTATGTGAATATGGACAGTTAGCATTTACCAACATGTACCTGTCTACTTTCTCTTGTTTAAAAAAAAGAAAAAAAAACTTTAAAAAATGGGGTTATAGAAGGTCAGCAAAGGGTGGGTTTGAGATGTTTGGGTGGGTTAAGTGGACATTTTGACAACATGACTTCTCCTTTGGCATGTTTAATTGTGATGTTTAATGGACATCCTTGCAGTTTAAAACTGTCATCACTTTTAAAATAAAACTCTCTCCTAATGATGACTTGAGCCCTGCCACTCAATGGGAGAATCAGCAGAACCTATAGGATCTTATTTGGAATTGACATTCTCTATTGTAATTCTGTTCCTGTTTATTTTTCAATTTTCTTTTTGTTTCACTGGAAAGGAAAGATGATGCTCAGTTTTAAACGGTAGAAGTGTACAAGTTGCTTTGTTACAATAAAACTAAATGTGTACACACACACACACACACACACAAAGAAACAAGAAAGGTCTCAAATATGCAACATAACCCTACACCTAAAGGAGCTGGAGAAAGAACAGCAAATAAAGCCTAAACCAAGCAGGAGAAGAGAAATAATAAAGATTAGAGCAGAAATCAATGAAATAGAAACCAAAAGAACAGTAGAACAGATCAATGAAACTAGAAGCTGGTTCTATGAAAGAATTAATAAGATCAATAAACCCCTAGCCAGACTTATCAAAAGAAAAGAGAAAGGACGCAAATTAATAAAATCATGAATGAAAGAGGAGAGATCATGACCAACACCAAGGAAATACAAACAATTTAAGGACATATTATGTGTAACTATATATCAGCAAATTAGCTGGAAGAAATGGATGCATTCCCAGAAATTTTTAAACTACCAAAACTGAAACAAGAAGAAATAAAAAACCTGAACAGACCATAACCAGCAAGGAAATTGAAACAGTAATAAAAAATCTCCCAACAAACAAGAGTCCAGGGCCAGATGGCTTCCCAGGAGAATTCCACCAAACATTTAAGAAGAACTAATACCTACTCTTCTGAAACTGTTTCAAAAAATAGAAAGGGAAGGAAAAATTCCAAACTTGTTCTGTGATGCCAGCATTACTTTGATTCCAAAACCAGACAAAGACCCCATCAAAAAGGAGAACTACAGACCAATTGCCCTGATGAACATGGATACTAAAATACTCACCAAGATTCTAGCCAATAGGATCCAACAGTACATTAAGAGGATTATTCACCACAACCAAGTGGGATTTAGTCCTGGACTGCAAGGGTGGTTCAACATCTGCAAATCAATCAACAAGACACATCACATTAATAAAAGAAAGAACAAGAACCACATGATCCTCTCAATAGATGCAGAAAAAACATTTGACAAAGTACAGCATCCTTTCTTGATTAAAACTCTTCATGGTATAGGAACAGAGGGTACATACTTCAGTATCATAAAAGCCATATACAAAAAGCCCACAGCAAACATCATTCTCAATGGGGAAAAACTGAGAACCTTCTCCCAAAGGTCAGGAACACAACAGGGATGTCCACTCTTACCACTGTTGTTCAACATAGTACTACAAGTCCTAGCCTCAGCAATCAGGCCACAAAAAGAAATAAAAGGCATCTGAATCAGCAAAGAAGAAGTCAAACTCTCACTCTTTGCAGATGATATGATACTTTATGTGGAAAACCCAAAAGACTGCACCCCAAAAGTGCTAGAACTGATACAGGATTCAGCAAGGTGGCAGGATATAAAATCAATGCATAGAAACCAGTTGCATTTCTATACACTAACAATGAGACAGAAGTAAGAGAAATAAAGGAGTTGATCCCATTTACAATTGCACCCAAAATGGTAAGATACCTAGGAATAAACCTAACCAGAGAGGCAAAGGAACTATACTCTGAAAACTATAGAACATTCATGAAAGAAATTGAGGAAGACACAAAGAAATGGAAAAACGTTCCATGCTCATGGATTGGAAGAATAAATACTGTTAAAATGTCTATGCTACCTAGAGCAATTTATACATTCAATGCAATCCCTATTAAAATACCATCGACATTTTTCAATGAGCTGGAACAAACAATCCTAAAATTTGTATGGAACCAGAAAAGACCCTGAATAGCCAGAGGAATGTTGAAAAAGAAAACCAGGGACTCCTGGGTGGCTCAGTTGGTTAAGTGTCTACCTTCGGCTCAGGTCATGATCCCAGGGTCCTGGGATCGAGCCCCATATAGAGCCCCACCTTGGGCTCCTTGCTCAGTGGAGAGCCTGCTTCTCCCTCTCTGCCTGCTGCTCCTCCTCTTTGTGCTCTCTCTGTGTCAAATGAATACATAAAATCTTTTAAAAAATTAAAAATTAAAAAAAGAAAATTTAAAAAAAGAAAAAGAAAACCAAAGCTAGTGGCATCACAATGTTGGACTCAAGCTATATTACAAAGCTGTATCATCAACACAATATGGTA